CCCTTTATTGATGAATTGTTAGTACCAGCAAATGCTACCTTTTCTTTGTAAGCTGATTCTACAGCTGAACATTGATCCAAGGGACTATTTTGCTGAGTGCCTTATTTTCTCAGGTAGAGTCAGAAAATGCTTCCAAAGGGTTTTCTTTGTTCTAGTATTATTTCATGTTCAAATTATATTGCTTTGGGAATAGAGTTCTTAAAAGGATGATTGGTATTCATAAACGGATTCCTGCATATAAGAATTCTTACTCCCAACAGGGCAAAGAGGGTTTTACCTTGTAGATTGCCTTCGCTGATTTTGTAGAGGCTGTTAGTGTTAGTGCCATAGACCTGGCACTAGAGATGACCCCTTGAGACCTGGGCGAACGAACTCAATAGGACCCACCTTGTTTTCCCAGATTGTACCAGTTTCACACTTTCAACAAGTTGAATTCTCACGAGTTTTTTCCTCACTCATTTTAGTGGAAAATGAATCTTTTCTGCTCTGAAAGGTTTCTGCCTTACATGGATTCTGGCATTTGCAGGTTTTACATGAATAGAGAGGGATTTCTATGTATAGACTCTGGAATCAGCCTGCCTGGGTTCAAATTCCAAACGAGAGAGTAGCTATGTACTGTTAGGCAAGCATCTTAACCTTTCATCTTTAAATGGGAACTGGCCCCATGGGGGCAGTTTGAAGTAGTTTATAAATGTTGGTGGTAGTGGTGTTAGGTAGCCAGCGATGTCTCAGAATTACCCTAGGTACAACAGAAGGAAACATTGCCCTGTCTGGCACAATTCTCACAACAGTTGTTATATTTGAATCCATTGTTGTAACTACTATGTCAATCCACTGAGGGTTTTCTTCTGCTTCACAGACCCTCTACCAAGCCTGGTGTTAATGTGATCATTAAGCTGTAATGCAGTCTTTGGATTCTATAGTTTCCCAAGCCAATTCTTAAAATACAGTGGGTCCAATAAAAAAAAAGGTTTAATTTTCTTCAGATTGCATCCTCTAAGTTTTATGGTTATGTATAATATTGAATTTCCTCTTTTATTTCTAAGGGGAGGTACTTTAACTCTATTGTGGATGAGTATAATATAAAAGCCTATTTTCATATTTCTCTATGTTCATGTACCTACTTGCAATGCTGTGTGCTCAGTGAACTTTTAATTCTTTTAGCCACAACATGAAGCAGTGAAATGGACCGAAGCTTGTAGGGACAAGGAAAGAGAACGTGTCCAGAATTTACTCCCCAGCACAGGACAATAGCCATGAAAAGTATTTCACAAATGGAAAATGGTAACGGTATTTCTTCACGACAGATTAGAGACTTCATAATTCATTGGAGAGACAAAAGTTTTACATTCTTCTCAAGGGCCTGAAATCAATCTCTCGGGAGGGCTAGGTCTTCGAGTCAGGGCAACATGGTATCATTTGAAGTCAAAATTACCTTAGGTTGGTGGGGTTTGGATTCATCTGGTCCGTCCATCCCCAGCTTTTCCGTCCCCAGCTTTTCTGTCCGCTTTATAAGAGCTCTATTTCTCTAGTTCAGCACCAGATCAAGTAGTTGGCTGATATTTAGAAGTCAGGCTGCATGCCAAAAATGTACATACTTTTAAACACTGGATTCACTCGCATCCGAGCAAGAAGCGTACTCAAACAGAGACATTAAGAGATAGGTGGAACACATGAAGAGCAAATGTATACCTTACTTTGTGCACATTGGATTGAATGGAATAACTGCCACTCTTTTCATCCCCTTGCCTTCCCTGCCACATGTCTCCATTCCTCCCTGTTGCTCTGAGGTTAGATAGTTGAACTGCTTTGAGTTGTGTGCATGTTTATCATGACACATAGTCTGGGATGGGTGCACAGTATGCTGAAGAGTTTATCTAGTCTAATTGCATTGCCTTAATTTCATAATCCATTTCTATTCCTTTATACAAAGAACAGTTTTTATTTGTCACAAGATATTTTTTGGATGGGATGGTGAGACATGAAATGTAAGTCACTTCTTTATTATATTAAACACACACACACACACATGCATGCTCACATCAGCAGCACATATACTAAAATTGGAACCATAAAGAGAAGATTAGCACAGCCTTTGCTCAAGGATGACACTCCACAGAGCAGAAAGTCTCACCTTGCTTGGAATAGCATTGGTGGGTTTGAACTTCTGACCTTGCAGTTAGCAACCCAACACATAATCCACTACATCACTAGGGCTTCTCTTAACAGCAGTCAAGAAGTCAAACTATGTATCTCATGGGCAAATCTAGTGCAAAAGATCTCTACCATGTGTGAAAAAGAAAACATGTCACTTTGATGGCTAAGATGCACCTGATCCAAGCCATGATATTTCCCATAGCCTAATATGGGTGCCACAGCTGGAATAAGGAAGACCTAAAAAGAATGATGCCGTTGAATTATGGTGTTATTGAAGAACATTAAATATACTGAAAACTGCCTGAAGAACAAATAAATATGTCTTGGAAGATGTACAGAATGCTCCTTTGAAGCATGAATAGCAGGACTTCCTTTCATATACTTTGGATATGTTACCAGAAAAGACTAGTCTTTGGAGAAAGACATCATGCTTGATAAAGGAGCT